ACTAGCAGACAACAGAACCATGCAGCCTGGCAAAGGCCACGCTTGCTTTCTCCTACACACTGCTCACTGCTCCAACAATGGTGTTTCCAGCAGGTGAAGGGATTTCCCCAGGTACAGCTATCTCAGAAGGGCTGGCCCACCTGGGTTCTTGCCCCTTAACCGTCCACATTCCCACTGGAAAGCACCAGAAACATTTCTGTCTTTGCAAGAAAGGTCACATTATCACCCGTCAACCATTCTAGGTGGTAGCTTCATTTCTCCAGGAGTAACTCTAGGAGACAAAGTTCAGTTCCCTAAGGGAGGTAGTAGTTCATTAAAAGCAATGTTCCCACCCTACAATTAAAGCACAGGAAAGGCTTTTGTTCTAGATCCTTTATAAGAGTCCAGTTCTAGAAGCTGGCTACCACTATTCCATTTTACAGGTGGGAGAGACGATGGACTAGACAGACGCAACAGGTTCAGTGTCTTACCAGGTGACTCCAGGCAGGTGGTGGTGTGGCTGTGAGTTTGGAGTTCCAGTCTTTGGAACATTACCCCACACTTAATTAGAGATACCTAGGGCAGGTCACCTTTTGCACACATGGACACCACTGACATGGCCTGAGAGTGCTCTGACAGTGAGACAATGAACAATAAGCCCATTCTGACTGGGCAAAACCCTGGTAACCACTTGACACTTACAATGTCTGAGTTTTACTAGTGCCAGACTATGAAGCTACACACATGCCTTTGGGAATCTGCTACTGTTCATCCCACAGCTACCTGAACAATGCCAGGAACACAGCTCAGAGTGAGCACCTTCATAGGCATGTTTTGCTTGGCCCAAAAAGCATCCGTGTCTATCTATGCCAATTGGTCTGGGTTGCTTTATTTCTCCTTGGGCAACCAGATGTGGAGGGCGCAGTTTAGTTTTTGGAATCAGGCAGGCCAAAATGTAAATTCTCACTCAGATATCTAACTGGCCAGTCTCTTAAGTCACCCAAAAAACTCACTGCTGTCGAGTCGGACCCGACTCATAGCGACCCCCTCTTGGGTTTCCAAGGCAGTATGCAGTATCTCTACGGAAGCAGATTGCCCAATCTTCCTTCTGAGGAATAGCTGGTGGGTTTGAACTGCCAACCTTCTGTCTAGCAGTCAAATGCCTTAGGCACTAAGCCACCAGAGTGCCTCTTAAGTCACTGTTGTTGTTATGTGCCGAGCTTCAAATGAAATAAAACCACTTACTGTGTGTTACAGATTGAATTGCTTCCCCAAAATATGTTGTTGTTGTATTTGCCATCGAGTCAGGAGTCAGATCCGACTCATAGGGACCCCTCCTTGGGTTTCCAAGGCAATATCACTATGGAAGTAGATTGCCCAACCCGAGGAGCGGCTGGTGGGTCTGAACTGCCAGCCTTCTAGTTAGCAGTCAAATGCCTTAGGCACTACACCATAATCCTAGCCTCTATACCTGTGGTTATAATCCTATTTGGGAATGGGCTATCTTTGTTATGTCAATGAGGCAGGATTACTGTAGCTATGTCTTGAGTCAGTCTCTTTTGAGATATGAAAAAGATTAAATAAGCAAGCAAAAGAGGTAGAGACAAGGTAATATAGATGCCAAACCACAAGGAGATCTCCAAGGAACCACGAAGCAGCAGCTGAAGAGACAAGGACCCGCCTCCAGAGCCAAGAGAGAGAGAAAGGCTTGCCCCAGAACCTGCACCCTGAATTTGGACTTCTAGCCTCCTAAACTGTGGGAGAATACATTTGTTTATTAAAGTCATCCACCTTTGCTATTTTTGTTATAGCAGAACTAGGTAACATAGACAGAATCTGGTATGAGAGTAGAATGCTGCTCTAACAGATAATACATTCCACAGATAAAACGCGGAAGTGGTTTTGGAATTGGGTAATGAGTAGAGACTGGAAGAGTTTTAAGGTGCCAAATAGTAGAAGCCTAGAATGCCTTGAAGGGACTGGTAGAATGTCAAAGACAAATCTGGGGAGGCTTCAGAAGGCAGCGAGTCAAGGACCTTCCTCCAGAGCCGACAGAGAGAGCAAATCTTCCCCTAGAGCTGGCGCTTTGAATTCAGACTTCTAGCCTCCTAAACCGCGAGAAAATAAATTTATCAAACCCATCCATTTGTGGTATTTCCATTATAGTAACACTAGATAACTAAGACACCATGGAAAACTACTGGGTGGAATATATGAAGTAACATGCTAATTCCATGAGGGTATGTATCATGTCTAGCTTATGACCAACACCTAGAACAGGGACTGCCAGTCCAAAAACCAAACCCACTGCCACTGAGTTGATTCCAACTCATAGTAACCCTACAGGACAGAGAATGACTCACAGGGTTTTCAAGGCTCTAAGTCTTTACAGAAGTAGACTGCCTCATCTATCTCCCATAGATTGGCTGGTGAGCTCAAACTGCCAACCTTTTGGTTAGCAGCCCAATGCTTTCACCACAGCACCACCAGAGCCCCTCCTGCCACATATTAGATGCTCAATAAATACCTGTTGCATAAATAACGGAAGCAACATAATGCCTGATCCATAAGAGCTACTCAATAAAAGTTAATTTTCTACCTCCTTCCTATTGGGATGCAAAACACCACCTACAGGGATGCTAAATACACACTTCAGGGCGGAATGGGCCGTAACTCCCCCACTCAAGAATTCCCCAGCCTCAGCCTCCAGAAAGGTTAGGAGATGCCACCTTGTCAGCCAGTCTGTGCTGGCTCAGAACAGGATGGAACCTGAGAAGGAAGTGGGCAGGCATCTTCTATGCAGGCTCAAAGGATCCTGCGTCAAATGCTCTTTACCCCCTGGCCTCAGGGAGAGAATGTGTGCCCAGAAATGTTCTGACATAGCTGGCTCTTCTGCACACACCTCCTCTGTTCACCAGGAGGAAGTGACATATGGTATGTTGTCCAACAGGCTCTGGTAATTTTCGAACAAAGAGATGGAAAATGGAATTTCAGTAGAGAGGAGAGCTGATGACCTTGCCTAGTGCTGCTGGGTCTAAGACCTCTCTCCATGTGCAAAACTGGGCAGCTGGCAAGTCTCTGGTTTGGGTAGCCCTCTGGAGGGGCTAAATGGCAGACAAGCCACCTCTCCCAGACTGCCTTTCGTTTACAGCTGGCAAACAACCCACCTGGTATTAGGACCACTGGCCATAGTCAGTCAAAGTGGGCAAATGGCCAAGTCCCTTCTTACAGGATGACTTAGAGGGTGTGTCTGAAGCTCTGGAATCCTGTCCCTCCTCTAGTCAGCTAAACATTTATTTGCCCCCAAAGAGAATCAAAGCAGGGGAGATTAGGAGAGGTCACTGCACAAACCTACAGGAACTATTTAATCATCTATTCCCCCGGGGAGTTCATTTACAGAATGGCTTTCAAGTCTAGTCAGCCTCAGCTCAACAGAGCTTTCTACTTTATCCCCTCCACTGCCACCCCTAGTCATCTGACCTCTACTGACTAGATCCCCTTGCCTTTTACTAGAGGTGGTGAAGGGGAAGAGTTGATGAAGTTGCAAAGAAATGGGAAATGAGAGTGAGGGGGTGGAGATCCAGGGCAAACTTGGGAGGTCTCTTGCTGAGTGGTAGAATGAAGTGCTGGCCACGCCCTAGGGCCAGCCTATGGACAAATGCATTCCTGACATTCCTGAATCCACTGTGCCCGGCCCCTTCCACATCAACTCCTTCAATAGATGACTTATTTTCTACAGCCTGCTCAATTTCCTGGGGGCTCTCAGGGGATAGCAAGGCTACGGGAGCCCTGCACCTCCTTTGGGAGCCCTGCACCTCCTTTGGGTCGGGGATTAATAGGAAAACAGGGCTGGGTTCACTGTACAAGAGCAAATATTGCCTAGAGGGACCACCGTAAAGAAGCTCTCATTACCTCAGTGTGACTTGGGAAGGGGCATGAGAACGCTCCCTCCCTGGGAAAGGGTAAGGCATGACTCCGGGGCCTAGAGTATGTCTGGGACCAATAATAATGACTAGTCTACAGCCAACTTGCTGGTAGTAAGGCGCTGTGCTCACATACTCTCCAAAATTTTTAGACAATGAAGGCTTGCTGTATATTTTTTTTTTTTAGTGGGGCAAACTGAGGCTCAAGGTTAACTGGCTTGTCCAAGGTTTCACAGCTAGTTAGGTGACAGGCCTGGGACTCACACCCGCGTCAGTTTATTTCCAAAATCTGTCATCAAATCTCAATGCCCCACAGAATCTCACAGACTAGGTTCCTGCTTTGCCAGCAGTGCTCGGTGAAGAGGCCCCAGAACCCTGGCCAGAAAGCAGCAAGCGGAGCAGTTGGAGCTCCCTAACCGACCCCAGGCAGTGAGTGCAAAGTCCTCAGGCTTAATGCGCGACACAGCAAGAGCTCCAGCAACCACGCAGAAAGCTGCACACTTTAAGGGGTGCAAGCACAGACTGGCACAGGGAATAGGGCCCTAAAACCAGACAATCCTTGGCCATCCAAGACAGGGTGGGAAGTTCTGCCTGGCCATGCCCTGTCCTGAGAGGAGAGTGTCACGAATGCAATAAAGGGAACTTATTTTGGGGGTAGGCTGACACCTCTGGGGGAGAAAAGTTGAAGGGGCTCGTGGGCCACTGATGCCCACAATCTTCTGTACGTTCAGTACCCCTTTGGGTGATGAACCACTGTGTCAGGGTGAGGGAACACTGGACTAACTTTTCGCAATCACAGGTTCTGAGCTGAATGAACACACAGGCTGTTTTCCTTCATTGAGAAACTGGAGCACAAGTTGAAAGAGTAGGGTCATGAAGGTTACGTGAATGAAAGATGCCAGGTCCTTCAAGAACTGGGTCATCTGTATTTCCTAACAGTTAACCCCTTCTGGTGAAAGAAGGCCAGTCACATCTCCATCCCATCAACATCTCCAACCATCACACAGCAGAAGAGAAAGAAATACACAGAAAAGGCTGTTGGGGATCTCTCTGACCAGAGGCCAAGAAAATGGGACATACAAGGGGCGTGGTCCTTACCCAGCCGCCGTTCTCCTGGATCCAAGGCTCTAGGTGGTCATTCAGGTAAGTAGCCATCCAAGTTGCGATCCGACTCACCAATACCTCCATCTCCTTGTCTACGCTTTCCACGCACAGCGCCCCACCGAAGGAGAAAAAGGCCACAATGCGACCCCAGTTCACCCCATCCCGGAAGAGTTCGTTCACTACCTGCTCAAAGCTCTGGTATGCTGTCCCTGGGGTGATGTGGAGCTGGGATGTCAGGTCACTGAATGCCCTCCGGTACCGCAGTTCAAACTCATCGCCTGCCTCCTTCAGAGCCTGCTTCACTGCTGCCATGGGGATAACCTCCCGGGCATCCAAGCTGCTGCTGTGGCCAGTAGCTCCATTCACTGCAGGGCTGTCTGCCAGGTGCCACGACGGGTTGCCATTGAGGGCACTGGGGGTCTCCATCTCTGATTCAGTCACTTCTGAGTCCCCAGTCCTGTTCTCCACATCATTAAACTGACTCCAACTGTATCCTTTCTGGGAAAGCTTGTAGGAGAGAAAGTCAACCACCAGCTCCCGGTTGCTCTGAGACATTTTTATAATAGGGACGGGGTCCACCAGTCCATTGTCCAAAACACCTGCTCACTCACTGAGTCTGGTCTCTGCTTAGTGGTTCCCTTCTGAGATCCAAAGCCAAGATAAGGTTCTGAAGGGAGAAAAAGAGCTTCAGGGGAAAAAAAAAAAAAAAAAAAAAACGTATACCACCTACCCTACAACATCACATTCTTCGTCTAGGTACCAGAGCTGACTGTGTGGCTCTAATGAAGGTCTGGGTCTAGCTTCTAAGACACTTCCACAAAGTCAAATGGAAAGCCCCATCTGAATCATCACACCAGCCTCTTTTACTCCAGCCACCCCCTTTTCTCCGAAAAATCTTCCTCGGAAAGTCGCCCTGGCGGGCAGTCCCCACACCACCTACATTCAAATCCGTCTCAGGCGGCGGCAGGCAGGTGCAGCCCCCGGATCTTTTGTATCACAGGTCGCGAGAGGAGGTGGTGACCGGGATGCCGGTAACCCAGCCGGCCTCGCGGCGGCTGACAACAAAAACAGCTCCGGGCGAAGGAATCATGCAACCCGGCAGGCTGGGAGACCAGAAGGCGACACCGGAACCGTGGCTCTCAGGAACCGGTCCCCTTGCTTGCTTCCTCCTCCATCGCCCAGATCGAGGGCGGCCGCTCCGCAGCCACGGCCTCCTACCACCCGGGAGCCCAGCCCCCTCGCTCTTGCACGCCCCTTGGCTCTCCGCCTCCTACTTGGAGCCAGAACTCTCCCGGAGGTGGCTGCTGTGGGTTTAGTTTTTTTTTTTTTTTTTTAAGGACTAGCTCAGGGTGAGGCTTCTGAAACCCTGAAGGGACTGCTCAATGGGGCTTAAGGTTTCGATAAGGGGAAGAGGGAAGATGAAACTGCCTCGGATCTGCGATCTGGGTTCGGAAAAGCCATCCCCGGGCCTTTCCGGGAGGCTGAAGGCCGGGGACCCCCCAAAAACGCCCCTGGTTTTCTTTGAATTCTCCAATGGCCCTGGACGTGGCGGTGGCAGGGAAGGATTGCCCGGTCCTCCATTCCCCGCGCGGACACAATGGCCGCCGGCGCCCTGCACAAAGACGGGGTGAGGGTGAGGCGCCGGCCTCTTCTTGGGTCAGGAAGTGGGGTCGAGGGCCCTTCGAGGCCCCAACAGCCGAGCCCACGTTTTCCTACAGACAGACCCACGGCGGCTTCCTGGCGCCCCCGGGAGGGCTCAGGGGCCGGGGTCTACAACTCCCAAGCCCTGAATGGGTGGGCTGCGGCCTCGCGGCTTCTCTCGCGAGCTAGGCCGGGTACCCGCCTGGCCACCGCCCCGTTGCTAAGCAACCTCCTTTCCTAGGGGCTCCCCCTAGACCTTTCTGGGAGGAGGGGTCTCGCCCCCGGCGGCCCGCCCCAGCGTAACCAATCAGCGAGTCCAATAGGCACGGAAGCGGGACGGCGAGGGCTCCCATTGGGCGCAGCGCCTGTCACGCACACAGGAGGCGGTGCTCTCACCTGCGAGCCCCGAGAGCCGTGGGGGACCACATCCCCCTTCATGGGCCCCGTAGTTTCCAGACACGGGAGCTCTTCGCGGCCGACTTCCTGCCGCGGACCAGGGCCAGCCTACCTGGCTGGCTGCTTTCGCCGTCTCTTCCGAAGAAGCCGGCCTCAGTTTCCCCTGAAGAGACCGGGGGAACTTGCAAGCTCAGTCACTTCCGGTGCTGCGGCAGCGCGCGCGAGCCCGAGACGCAAAGGGAGTGCGCGCCTTGAGTTACTGGCGTCAAGGCCTCGGTGGGAGCGCCCCCTTGCGGAATATCTGGGGAATTTGCAGAATAAGGCATTTGACTGCTAACCAGAAGGCTAGCGGTTCAAACCCACCAGCCACTCCTGGGAAAAAAGATTGGGAAATCTACTTCCGTAGAGATACCGCCTCGGAAACGCAAGGAGTGGTGGCTATGAGTCGAAATGGACTCTACAGCAGTGAGTTTACATCCATTCATTCATTCATTCTTCTGTTTCATCAACTTGATAATTTATATGTGGACTGTTAACCGACCGGTAGGCAGCTCTGACCACCAGCCACTCTGTAGCTTCGCGGGAGAAGGATGTGTAAATTGGCTTCCATAAAGATTTACAGCTTTGGAAACCCTGTGGGGCAGTTCTACTCTGTCCTAAAGGGTCACTATGTGTCCACTGGCCCGCAACACGTGTGGCTGAGAATCCTATCTCTGGGGTGCGAACTCTGCCACTCTAACAAGTTACTCAATTGTTCTGTGCCTCAGTTTCCTCACCTGTAAAACAGGTAATAGTACCAACTTCCCACATCGGGTTATTGTGAACATCGAGATAATTCTTATTTGTAAAATCCAGAAAACAATGTATAGAGTTAGGAATGAAACAGACATGGTCCCTGTTTTCATGGAGACTTAAACCACAGAGATGGAGAAAGACAGCCAACAACTAAGAAAATATGCAATCAAGATCATTTCAAATGGTGACTAGTGCTGTGAAGAACATAAATCAGGGTATTGTGATAAACAGGCCCAAGGAATAGAAGAGGTGCTACTTTAGACAGGGTAGTCAGGGGAGAGGCCTTTATTCACAATTATATATGAAGGGCAACCAAAAATGGCCTCTTTGAAGAGATGACATTGAACTCAAGGCTTGAAAGATAAGAAAGTGCCAACCTATGTAGGAAGAGCCTAGAGAACATCAACCTAAGCAGGTCAACATGTGCAAATCTTCTGAGGCAGGAAGATCTTGGCATGTGCCAGAAGCTAAAAGAGAAGAAGTGTGACGGCAGAGTAGTGAAAGAGGGTGTATGGTGTGAGAGGAGTTAAAGTTAATCATGGACATGAACTGGAATTGATTCCAAGCATGGAAGGGTGTTTATTTTATGTTAATTTAATTGATTAAAATAGATATAGGAACACTGAGTATTAAAAATATACAAAAGCAAACGAATAAAAGTCAATACTCTTTTCACCCCTGCTTCCCAATCCTCAAGGAGCTCTGGTGGTGTAACGCCTAAGGCATCTGACTGCTAACCAGAAGTCTGGCAGTTCAAACCCACCAGCCACTCTGAAGAAGGAGTGGGCAATCTACTTCTGTAAAGATTTACTGCCCTCGAAACCCAAAAGGGGTCACTATGAGTCAGAATCGACTAGATGAGAGGTTTTTTTTTTTTTTTTTTTTTTTTTCCCAGTCCTCAGTTGCCCTCACAGAAGCCATCACCCTTTCCCCTGTATCCCTTCTGAGATGGTCACTATATTCGTGAGCATTTCTGTATAGGTGTTTTACACAAATGGTAGGATGCTATAAACACTGGCACACCTTGCTTTTGTTCCCACTGAGCTTTGACATTTTGAAGCTGCCTCAAGTTCTTAAATCAATGCACAACTTTATAATGACATGCCATACTTTATTGGCTCAATCTCCTATTTGGAAACATTTTGATAGATTCCAATCTTTACCTATTATAGATAATGCTATAATTTGTCTATTCATTATGTGTATACATGGAGTTTATCTGCAAGGTAAATTCCTGGAAGTGAATTACCAGGCAAATGAGTATATGTATTTTTTTTTTTTTTCCCATACAGATACTGGCAAATATTCAATAATAGCAGGTGTACCAGTTTACTCTCCCATCAGGAAAGTATAAGACTCACACTCTGACCTACAGGATGTGTTACGAAACTTTCTGATCCTTGCAAGATGGATAGGTAAAAACTGAGAGGTACTTTATTTTTATTTTTCAGTTCTTTTATTATGAATGAAGTTGAGCACTTTTTTGTATTTTTGAGGGATGTTTTTAGACTTGTTTTGGTGAATTCCATGTTCTAAACATTTGCCCTCTTTTCAGTTGGTCTCTTGTTGAACTTTCCCTGATAGGGGTTTTTATCCTTTTTCTCCCCATACAAGAGTTATAAATATTTTCCTGGTTTATTATTTATTACCATGAAAAAAACTTAATTTCTATGTATTTTATCAGTCTTTTCCTTTGTGGCTTCAGGTTCTGTGTTATACTTAGAAAGGCCTTCTCTTTAAATAAAATTTCCTTGGTGAAAAAAAAAAAGAAAGGCCTTCTCTAGCTCAATTTTATAAAATAATTCTAACTTTTTTTTTTTTTGTTTTACATGGCTTCATATTTTACATTTAAATTCTTGTTCCACCATAAATTCACTTTGGCACAAGGTGTGAGCAAGGATCCAGATTGTTTTTCCCCAAATAACTACCCAAACCAAAACCAAGCACACTGCCATCGACTTGGATCTGACTCATAGCAACCCCACCTTGGGTTTCAGAGGTAGTATCACTATGGAAATAGATTGCCCAGTCTTCTTTCTAAGGAGTGGCTGGTGGGTTTGAACCGCCAGCCTTCTGGTTAGCAGTCAAATGCCTTAGGCACTATGCCACCAGAGCTCCTAATAACTACCCAGTTAGTTGTCAATACTATGTATCATTGTATCATCTTTCCCCCATTCATTTGAAATGCTTCCATTATCATCAACTATACTCTGATCAGTGTATTTGGGTCAATTTCTGAACTTTCTATTCTTTTCCACGGGAGGCATGATCTTATTTACGTTAATTTCTGTTACAAGCATCATTCTGGGTAACGCAAATGGTTAACAAGCTCTGCTGCTTTGTGAAAAGTTGGAGGTTTTAGTCTTCTCAGAGTTGTCTTGCAGGAAAGGCCCGGTGATCTACTTCTGAAAAAATCAGCCATTGAAAACCTTATAGAGTATAATTCTACTCTCAGACACATAGGATCGCCAGGAGTCAGAATCAACTAGACAAACACTAGTTTGAAGTGAGCTTCAGGAGCCCAGCAGAGGGCAGATCAACTCTGTCTAGAGGTGTGGGCTCTACTGAGCTGTTCCTGAAACAAAAACATCAACTCCACTGCTGAAAAGTATATTCTGACTCATAATGAGTCTATGGGACAGAGCAGAACTGCCCCCTAGGCTTTCCAAGGCTGTCAGTCTTTAGGAAGCAGGCTGCCACATTTTTTTCTCCCGCTGAGAAGCCTGGTGAGTTCGAGTTGCTTACCTTCTGGTGAGCAACCAAACCCTTTAACCACTGCACCACTAGGGCTTCCTTGTCCCTGAAAGAAGAGTAGAATTTTGTCTGGGAGAGAGAAGAGGTGAAAGCATTTCAGGCAGAAGTCATGGCAGTCTGATGCAAAAGCCTACGGTGTGTCCTAGGAATCAATGGGGTGGTTGAGGGGCGTGTCAGTAGAGGGGATTGAACATAAATATGTATCTATCTGCATTCAGTACGAGCCAGGTTTTCTTTTCAAACCAGCAGATAACATAAAGAGATTTATATTTTGAAAAGATAGATGGAATGCATTGTGCTAAGGTCTCTGTACTCCTTCCAAATGGTTAAGCACTTATGAAGCAAAATCTCATCTGGCTTTTGCTGATTGCATCCTCGTGGTGTCAATTAACTATACTTTAAAAATAATATAATTTCATAAAGTTAGTATTTATTAGCTCTGTTATGGCACTTCCCCCTTTATTATTTTTATTAATAATTTTTTAAACATTATTTTTCAAAACTCAGATGCTAATTCTTGTGCCTTTCTTCTTTCATATGAATTTTAGAATCAACTGGCCAAGTTCTGTGACAAAGCTTACTGGGATTTTCATTGGGATTTCCCTGAACTCTTAACATCTTTACAATATTGGATCT